GCTCATTAGCCAGCAGAGTGAGTTTTGCTATGTACACATTGCAGGTCCAATGCCTCCACTTGGTAGGTCAGAGGCACCATTCTCTCCCTTCCTTCCCCTTCTCGATGCTGGAGGACTTGGAGATGAGAGGGACGGAAGAAGGAAGCTAAACCTTAGAGCATACTCTCCTTTGGCTCTACCAAAACTTTGGACCTCCTCTAAGCCCCAGTGAAAAAATGATTCTTGATTTAAAAACCAACACTACAAAAAAATCTCTCTGGGCCCTGAGGAGCCCTGAAGTGCTCCTTTGATAGGCTGCTGGAGTTCTTTTGTAGACGGACCTCTGTCTCAGATGATTAGAATTGGGAAGAGAGTGGTTGTGGAAGAGTAGAATGGGTAACAGTCGTCAACACATGTGGAGGTGCGTGTCTGTGTGTGCAGTGAGGGGGCAGTGAGGACTTGTGGTTCTGGATCGCTTTCTCCGTGGGGCCCGGGTTTATAGCAGTAGCCAAGACTCCACAAAGACGGCGAAAGCCCAAACAGACCCTGGGCACCTGAATTTATTCCTGTAGACTTTGGAAGCTTGCAGATTGCAACTTATTATTTTTATTAACCCAAATAAGAGGGAGAGGCAAGAAGAAGAGTTTGTACAAGAAGAAAAAAGAGAGTGGGGGAAAGTAGGGGAAGGGATGGAGGAGAGAGAGTCCTAGACCAAGTGTGTGGCGAAGTCTGGTGATGCTGGGTGGCTTCTGGCATCCAAAGCCCCCAATTAGGATAGGGCGCCTTCCCAGATCAAGTTACAAAGTAACTCAGCCAAATAAGAATCCCTCCTGGTAATTGGATTGGGCCTTCCCTCATCCCGACTCTCACCTCTATTACTCTATTTCTTGCTAGGTTAGTCTTTTAGCGAATAATAAATGTCTTTCTATGCGTGGGAAGGAAGTCCAGATCTTGCCTGTTTGGAAATTCCGAAACTGCGTGTTATGCAAAAGTTCAGGGGCAAAAAACAGACTCTCTTGTATGCCAGGGTAAACCTCCTTGTGTCAGATCTTCCGTCTAGGAAATCAGACATGAGGTTAGAAACGCTTACATCGATTGTCAAGTGTAAAAGAAAAACAAAAACAAAAAGGGGGAAAAGAAAAGTCTATTTAGAGAATGAAATCCTGACTCGTAGGATTTTAAGTTTTGGAATTAAAAATAAACAATTGTTTATAAATAAAATACAAAAATATAAAATACAGAACGAAATGCAAAAATATAAACAATAGTAGCTTAGGAAACAGACAGCAGCAAGCTATCTCCAAACATAGATAGGTATATAGATAGATACATAGTGCAAGTCTAGGCTAAAAGCACAGCAGGAGCCTACAGAAAGAATGAGCTAAAAAAAAAAAATTCTTTCTGAAGGATACAATTTTAAACTGTGAAAGAAAAAAAAAAGGAAGGAAGGCAGGAAGAAATAAAAGTAGAGAAAGAAAGAAACGGGACGAACCAGATATGCTTTTTAGCCTACCCGCGCCTAGTTTTGCTGTCTGGCTGGATACAGATTCCACTAGGTACCATTCTCCCAAACCTGGAAAGGCAAGGCTCTCGCGTCCTTTCCCCTCTCGACAAGTCTCAGAGACAGACTCACGCTGATAATGTTCTTCCCTGGATAACTTTTATTAGAAATAGAGCCTGGCTAGTCTTTCCAGAGGCCTGACAGTTTAATTCAGTTTTAATCATTTCCTTAATGTAGCACGACCTGGGAAAAGGCATTTTTCTCTCTTAAAGTGACAGGAGGCGCACGCTCCCTGTACATACGCTCTCATCCACGTTTACACTCGCGCAGGTGCACACACGCGCATCCGCACACGGGCACATATAGACGAGTGCACACGGGCGTACTCACGTGCACACAAGCACATACAGACATGTGCACACGCGCGCACGTATTCCACCGAGCTTTTCTTCTGTCAATTCGCGTCCTGTCCCCGTTTCTTTTGCTCCCTAGACCCGCGACTTGCAATGATGGCCCTGGCTCGGCTCTGGCACGCGCAAGCCACGCTTTTGGGAAAAAGCCTTGTAAGGGCGTTGGCTCCGCCATCACTGGAAAGGCCGCGAATGCTTCCCCGGCCCCCTCCCTCTCCCGCCCCGACCCTGCGGACTCCGGCCTTCTTTCCCTCTCCTGCCTGGGAGAAGTTCCGCGTCGCTTCTCCCGGAGCAAAGGTCCGCGTGCGGTGGGGTCTGCTACTTGCTGCTTTGTGGGGTCGAGTACAGCTGTCCTGCTATTTCCGGAAGCCTGATCCACGTTCGGCGCGAATCCGAGGCGGCTTGAGGCGGTGCCGGCTCTACGGTCATGGTTCCCAAAGCACAGCCTGGACCTGGACTAAAGGGACCGACGCTTCCCCTTGCCTTCGGCGCCCAGCGCATATACCTGGATTATCTCTATCCGACATCCTGGGCGTCTGTGAGGCTCAGCTTTCCAGCTGGTCGTCTATGTGGGCACAAGTTTTCCCGTGTCTGTGGGTTCCGGAGTCTGCGGTCCTTTCTGCCCCAGGTAAAGGAAAGAAGGAGCAGGGAGACAGAGGAGGCCTTGGAGCTGCGTGATCCTGACAGCGCTCTTACAGGCCGTCTAGTTCCTCGTACATGAATTTGGGCTTCGGAGCAAATAGATGGACAGGAACTTGTCTACAGAGCAAGCTTCGCGTCTGGAAATTGAGTTCGTCCCTGCGGCCTCAGGTTTCTCAGAATGAGCCGCTCTCTCTCGGGCCACTGGGCCGGAGTAGGCCCGAGAGCCCCGGCGACTCCACCCATGGGCCTCAAACAATCCTCCGAGGGCTCGAGGGCTGCTCGAAGGAGCCGCGGGTCGCTCCTTCGCGTGCTCAAGATCCTGGGCCTGGGGCTGGGCGCTCGGACCTCGCGCGCTGCAACTGCGGGCCTCAGACGGCGGGCGCGCGGAGCTGCCGGCGCAGCCTCCAGCCGCACGTGCGCAGTCGCCTTCCACCCCCACTCCCAGCGCAAGCCCTCCAGGTGGCCTCCGCGCCCTCCCAGGCCCGCTTCCCCTTCCGCCAGCCCGAAGACACCCGGTGTGCGCTTACAGTTTAGGCTGTATTACCCGCCTGGGGCGCCCTCCGGGGTCCGCACCATTCCAGACTGTTTGCAAAGACATCTTTTACAAATGCAAAACATCTCCTTCCAGTGGAATCGATTTCTTCAGCGTTTAGAAGAGCCCTCTTCCGCGAGGGTGTTGCTGAGTCGTTTTTGACTCCGGCTGCTTTGGCCCCGCAGGGCGGCACCGCCTGCTCAGTTTCCTTCTCTGCTAGAAGGTTACCTCGGAGGAACCGCGTGTTCCCGGGAGCTACGATACAAAGATTTCAGTGGCGAAAGCTACTCCCTGTATTACTCTACTGAAAGCTTAGAGAGAAGTCGGAGCTAAGGAAGCCGGCAGTTGTGGAGGTTGAATTGAGCGAGCGAGGGAACGAGAGCGAGCGAGAAACAGCCATGTGTCGCTTCTTTTATACCAAAGATTTAAGAGAGATATGTATGAGGAATTTTATTCTACACGAAATTTGGTCTTTATGCCAAACGCACTTGGGGCTTAACAAAAAAACCGAGTTGAAAGTACAAACAGTACAGATGCATGTTTGGGGTTATTCAATTAAAAAAGCGTTTTAAAAAAAATATTTTAAAGAAATAAGTGGGCTCTTTAAAAACCCGAGAAAAGAAGTGGCAAATTTTCTAAAGCAAGACAAATATGGAGTTAGGTTAAATCATAGAAACTTTTTGAAAGTTGCGATGGAAATTTTAATGTGCCTTAAAACTGATTTCACCTTGATGCGTTTTTGGGAGTTTGAAAGCTAAGTCCTTATCAATGAAGCCTTACATAATTAAAATCCCAAGACCTACGTTTTAAAATTAGTTCACATGCTTTGAAAGGAAAGGGAGGCTCCAGAAAGGACGTGCTTTTACAGACTAGTAAATATGAGAGATTAAGCGGTAATGTAAAAGTTTGCTCTCCTAAATATAAACGGCTTAAATATATCTTGAACTCCCACACGTTCCCCAAGAAAAATCCGCTGAGTAAAACATAAGTAAAGAAACAAACACAAATAAGCAACCTTACTGCCTTTCGTGGCACCGAATGGGCGCTACTAAATGCGGGAATGTTTAAATGAGGAAAGGCGGGCCTGGCGGTTGTGAATTGTCCCCACCCAAAAATGTTATGAGTTGTAGCAAAGTTAAGTGATAAGGGAATGGGGTTGGAGTTTAAGGTTTCTTGGAAGATTCTTGATAGTCTATGTTTGGTGATCATCTCGGTTTAAAACCAGGAGCCTCACACTTTCCAGGTCTGGGTGACGAAAACTAGAGACTCAGGGGCTGGAATGGGCTAGGGCAGCCAGAGAGACTGACCCGGTTCAGAGCCCCGGGCTGGCACTTCCAAGCCAGACGGAGGCGCTTTTCACTCTTTTTTTTTTTTTCCCCTGCGACCTTGTAAGGAAGTGGGCGCGGGCTGAGCGAAGTCGGCACCTCCTGATTGGCTGGACTTCCAGGTGATTGACAGGACCTCAGACTCCACCCCTGCCGCTTTATTGACACTAATGAGCAAGTTCTTCCCACCGCTCTCCTGCTTGGAAGTGCTGACAGATCAAGGCAACAAATTTCAATTACAATCCCTAATTTGTGTCTGCAGAGTGTTTTTTACCCATGTTAGTCCTCTCTGGCGCATCAGTCGAAGCAGATCTTGGAGCAGCAGGAGGAGGTGGAGGGGGTGGGAGCGAAGGAGTGCATCAGTGAGAGAGCGCGCGCGAGAGACCGAGGGAAGGAAACTTGGAGGGCGCGTCGCTGGTTCCTTGGATCCCGACAAGAGCGAGAAAGAGGAAACGCCAAATTTGTTTTTGCCCGCGGCGGGGAAGGGGGCAGATCGGCCTGCGGGAGGCCCCGAGAGGCGTTCAAATTTTGGTGGGGGAGTAGAGCGAGTGTGTGCGTGTGCCCGCTTGAGTGTATATGCGCGAGGGGCGGGCGGGCGCCAGGCGGCGGGGATGGCCGAGAAGCGGAGGGGCTCGCCGTGCAGCATGCTAAGCCTGAAGGCGCACGCCTTCTCCGTGGAGGCGCTGATAGGAGCCGAGAAGCAGCAACAGCTTCAGAAGAAGCGACGAAAGCTGGGCGCGGAAGAGGCTGCGGGGGCCGTAGGTGACCGAGGCTGCAGCCGCGGCGGTGGCGCCGGTGAAAAAGGCTCCTCTGAGGGAGACGAAGGCGCTGCACTCCCGCCACCGGCCGGGGCGGTATCCGGGCCCGCCCGGAGCTGCGCAGACCTGGAACGGAGCTGCGGCTCCCGGGGAGCCGCGGGTGAGTCGGCCCTTTCCCGCCTAGCTTCTTACCCGCGCGCCCCTCCGGGTCCCACCGGGCCGCGCGGCCGCGGGGGACCTGAACTTCGGCGAGTTGTAGGAGTACGCGCGCGCGGTGCCCCCCTGTGCCCGAGGCAGTTCTGCCACCAACGCATTGGCCTTGGGTGTCCGGGCGCGAAGCTCACGGCCGCCCTGGCAGTTCTTGCCGTTCAACTCTGGTCGCCCTCCAGACGGTTCAAAGGCCGCTCCTAGCCTCGCATTTCAGGCTGCCGCAGCCCACTTGGCGACCCGCGCCCTCCTCCGCCGCTGTTTTCGGCTCTCGGCAGTGCGGGGCTTTGCCTTCCGCATCTGCCTCCCTTGGGGATCCAGCCAATGGGTGCTCTTTTTTCTTTCCTAACTTTTAAAAGCAAGGGGGTGGGGGGAGCGACGGCATAACCCCCCCCCGAAACCGGAACGAATGCCCTAAACAGTTTTGGCAAACCAGGAAGAGGGCGGCGTATGTGCAAACGTGGTTTCCCGAGGGGTAGCTGAGCCCTTCCCTTCCCCTCTGGATTCCCGACACCAAGGCCGACGGCCACCGTGGGCTGGCTTTTGGCGCCTTTCTCGTCCCTCCGTTGCTTGGCTAAGGAGTTCAGGGCGGTCGGGGAGTTTGGCGGGAGTGCAGTCTGAAGAGCTTTCTAGAAGATGCCTCCGGCCGGGCCCAAAGCGAAGCGCCTCGGAAGCCTAACGGGAAGGGAGGCCCAGGCACTTCGGACCAGGGATCCAGACGCCAGGCGGTTTTGCAGCGTGCGTTTCGGGTGTGCCAGGGTTTGCACTGAGGTCCTGGACTCGGGAAGCCATCTCAGGCTCTTTGGGGCACTTATCCTAGACCCCGGCGGCGGCGCGAAACTTATTTTGGGGCCTTGACCCGCGGAGGCCCGGAGGGAGGGATGGACGCGGCCCTCGCGCTTTGGGCCTCGGGACTTGGGGATCCCGCTTGCACGTCGAGTCCTTCTGGCGGGCAGAGCGGTCGTCCACCCCTGGACCAGTTTGGTAGAGGAACCCGAAGACGCGAAAGCTTCCCCTTTTCTCCTGGTCTTTTCGGTCTCTCCAACCGCCCTCCGGGAGTCAAGTCTCCCCATCCGACTTCCCCTCTCGAGCCCTCACCGGTTACCCCTCTTTGCCCTTTACTGCCCAGGCGGCTGTGAGGACGGCTTCCTGCAGGGCGCTTCCCCGCTGGCGTCCCCGGGAGGATCCCCGAAGGGGTCACCGGCGCCGGCCCTGCCACGGCCCGGGACCCCACTGCCCTCGCCGCAGGCCCCGCGGGTGGATCTGCAGGGAGCAGAGCTCTGGAATCGCTTTCACGAGATCGGCACTGAGATGATCATCACCAAAGCGGGCAGGTAAAGGGCGATCCGACAGGGGTCAGGAAGCAGAAGGGCCTGCAGAGCTGTGGAGTCTCTGGTTAGCTCTTTTGTACAGACAAGACGAGGCCCGGGTTGTGGTTCACTTTTGAGGCTGGCTTTGCCTGTCTACACCGCAGTGCAGTCGGTGTTGGGCACAGCCCCGCCGCACTCTCGGATATTAGGGAGAAAACCACCGTCCCCGCTAGTGCGGTAGCGGTTGAGATTGATACTCCGTATGCTGGGTAGTTAGAAATTCGTGTTTCTGTTTACGTCTGTCTAGGCATTTATTTAGGCTCTAGTTATAGATTCTGGAACCACGAAACAGACGACTCTCCTTAACCTCTCCTTTTTTTAAAAAGCGCAGTTTACTCTTTAGAAAACTGATTTTTTTTTTTTTAAGATTCCAGACTGCCAAGTTGGTTCTTTATCAAAAGATTTCCTAGCAGTGTAAGAACGTCATGTGCTATTTTGATGTTACACTAGAATGAAAAGTTACTGGAATCATCAGTAATACGTGTACAATTCCTGCAAAAATAATTACCCGGTTTCTAAAAACCATTCTGTTTGTGGATCCAGTTTCATGGTTACATTTTTTTTTTCTAAATGAAATCCAACACATTCGCCTAAATTTGCTGAAGAGTACCACATACTCAAAAATGTAAGAAGTTATATCTGTTTTTTCAAAGTGTGAAATTTGCACATCCAGTTAGTAAAATAATTTTGTTGGGTAGATACTGTTAATTTGAGGAAAGCACAGCCATATTTGCATTTTAAAGTTTTCAGTTCATTTAGTGCAGTGAAATCTATGAATAATATCTTCCTAAAAAGGAACTTTAAAAAGCACAGCAACTCTTTCAGGGAGTACACATGGCAAAAACCTGGATAGCATAAAAGTATCCAAACTTATTAGAAATTACAAAAACATATTTTATTGAATCCATATGCTACCTTCTACATTTTCACAGAGCTTTTATTAATGATCCAAATTCAGTCTTCAACAACACAAAGCAACGGTTGTCTTATAAAGGATGTAGTTAAAGACCTTTACTCTTTATCTTACAGGTGCACTGAAATAACACTAAAACAGCCAGCATATTAAACTGTTCTCATGCCTAGTTAGGAATAATGGACTTTCTTTACTCTGGAAGTGGTCTTTAATGGCATTATTGTTATAGAAAAAGGTTTTAGTAAATAACAGTACTAAAATTTGCGTTATAAGGTTAAATTAGGAAAAATTAGATTAACTGGCAGGGTCCTAAACATAAATCACTAGATGAAAGTTTAAAAAAAGAGAACTGCTCTACTTGTTTTTTAATACAATAATTTGCTGTTATAGTCATGCTACTGTATCCTTTTTAAAGGATAGCTGGGTGTACTTTAGCATCTCTGATATGCATCTCTGGAAGCCTAGAGAAATGCAGATTTTCATTTGTTTTAATTAGCAAAGTTTTGAGTAAGTGTAGCTAAATAAGAAAGTATTTCCAGGGTATAGTGAGGGAAGGAATGATTTGGTAAATATACATTGTGTTTAGTTTCTGCTTTCAATAAAGAAGTTTTACTATACCTTTCAAATTTAGAGCAACTTTTGCACTTCACCTTTACCATGCTGCAGACAGGAAGTCCTGTCTCAATAAAGAACATATTGTTTGGTTATAGCATGGCACATTGGCTCCTTGTGGTTTTTTATAACCCTTTTAAAATTTCACATTATAATATATTTTATCACTTGTACAAATTCAGATTTTCTATTTCTACCATTTGGAACATTTTATTATTCATATCATTAAAGTAAATATGCTTATTTAGATTTTTGTTTAAAAAATAAAATTCTGGTTTTTTTTTTGTTTTTTTTTTTTAGTGCTATTACTCCTTCAGTGTACAATTCTTTTCCTTTTAGCTGTACTGACATTTCAGTAATCACAGTGCATGACAGGGTACAGCAAATTACATTTAAGTCTCAGTTTTGATGTGTCCTATATTCTGATCCTTTGAATTACATTACCAAAGTGAATGCTATAAACTTTTCCGCATGAAAAACAGAGAGGTTTCCCTAGGTTTCTTCGCTTATTCATTGTTCGTGCTTAATCACAAACAAACAAAACCCATACCCTGTTTCTCCCCTCCGTATGCATAGGCGCATGTTTCCAGCAATGAGAGTGAAGATCTCAGGACTAGATCCTCACCAGCAGTATTACATTGCCATGGACATTGTGCCAGTGGACAACAAAAGATACAGGTACAGTGATCAGATGGATTCAAGAGGATAAGAAAATGCTAGGATTTTACAGGCTATGCCTGTTTCATCTGTGATGACTATGATGTTTGTTTCCAGAGCCTGTATAATTTCTAGATCTATAACCCAACTCCCGACAGATCCAGTAGCCCAGATGGTGCCTTCTCTTACAGTTAATGTGGAAACTTAATTTTTGTTTTGCTTTTAACAGATACAGAAGAAGTGTTTTTTAAGCATTAAGAACTTTAGATAAAGGCTAGTGTAGCGTTGCTAAACTGTGTCTTTTATAATGATTCACTTTTCAATTAGGATTTTGAGAGGAAATGTTAAATTTGTAGGTGTACATAATATTCAATGAAATGTTTCATTTTCTTTGTGATTGTTTTGATCTTTAAATAAATTCCCTTTACCTTGTTATGTTCAAAATTATAATTGTTGGCAAGCTTTTTTCCTTTAATTTTAGAAAAGTATTGAAGATTTTTATACTGTAGGAAATACAGTCTTCTAATTCATTACGATATTAGAACATCTTTAAACTGGTAATGAATTTGTTAACTTACTCTTGTTTTTTAGTTGGTAGTTAACAGAGTAGATTTAAAAAGAATGTTGTAATAATTAGATTTTGAAAGAGTACATATTTACTTGGATGTTAGGTAAAGTTGGAAAAGATACACATTCTTCAGTTTCAAACCTACGTTTGCTCTATTTTCTTCTGCAAATAAGCCAGTCAGCAGTTTTCAATGACAATGCTTTTTACTTTCCTGAGGAGTTAAAAAATGCTAACATTTAAAAAGAACTTTTGAGTAGAAGGTCAGAAGAAGCTGCTTTAAATTTTGTTCTTTGTTTCTATATATTTTTTAAAAATTTTATAAACAACTAGAGCATTTAGCAAGTTTTTCAGTGTAGTCAAATTTGGTTTTCATCACTTTTTAAAACTTAGGGAGTACTTTTTTTTAAACAGGATTATTGTGTCAAAAATATATAGATTTAATTAGTACAGGCGCACATGGAATGCTAAAAGAATGGGCAATAAAAAGGACAGTTTTATTATTTGTGTTTTGTATTATATTACTGATTTTAATTAAATAACTCATTAGGGAGTTTGCTAAAATTATCTACGACATGGTAGAAACTAGAAGGCATTTAGTCTTTAAATATACTTGGCTTAAAATCCATATTCTACTCTGGGTTTTGTGTTGAGAAAGATAATGTAATTCTTAATGAACTTAGAAATTCTTCCTTTCTCTTCCATATTTTTCTAAATATCTCTCATGTATTTTGGGTGGTTTCTTTTACTTAATTGATTCTTATTATTCTCACAAAGAGCAAGAAAATCTTCAAGTATAGTATTAAGATGTCAAATTTTGAAAGATCGAATTGTAAATCATTAATTTGTTCTCACTTATAATGCTTCCAAGGAAGTTTGGTTTTAGCAATTGTATTAAGAATATTTCACAAAGAATATGTAACATGTAGTGTGTATTCTGTTGGTGGTGTGGATTTTTGAACTATTGAACATGTGTACTTTTTTGAGGTCTGATAAAGCATATTACTCTATTTTGTGAATAACTATAGAGGAGTTTTTTCCTTGCATTTCTAAGATTTGCATTTTATTTTCTAACATTTTTAGGAATAGTAGAAAAATTTTTTTGGTTATTTTCTGTTGTCAAAGTGATATTTGGTCAAGTTAAAAATGTTTGTGATTTATTATAATATAAAATTAATATTCATAAAAGCCCATGCACTTAGGAACTTATTTACTGAAATTCACTATACCAGTTCAGGGAAATTTTTAAAAATCATTTTTAATTTTGTGAGTATGTACTTTTTTCTCCAAGAAAAGGACTTAAAGAATAGAAGGCATATTGAATCAAAAGAGAATAAAATATGTGACATTAGTCAAAACAGAGAGACTTACTAGAGATGTTATAAAAATGTCTCATGCTATTTATGAAAGAAATTTGCATACTACACCGGTAGAATTCTCTGAGACTATTCACACATTATTGCTTTAAATTGTATGTCATATTTTAAAATACAAATGAAGGAAAACACCTAAGTATGTAATTTCATTTTATACCCTTTTCTAAGTGAATCATCATATACTAGTTTCTAGTTTTTGTAATAGTGAATTTTAGATTAACATTAATAAATGATAATCTGAATATAGGATTAAATATTAGAATCTTATTTATTACCTGAAACATTATTATTTAAATGTATTGTTCTTATGGAGTCAATATATTTGAAATGCTTAAATGAGCAGAAGAGAATGTTTGGTCTCTTTATTTGAGAAGTAGCATTAATTAGATATACCCTGATTTTCAAAGTTTGATGTATATTTTGATTAGTGGAATTTGAAAACTAAAGAATCTTCTTGTAAGGATTGAGAAAAAGACATAAAGACCTATATTTTTTGATTATATAAAATTTTTAAGTTAAACTTAATACACCGTTTGCAATTTTTAGCTGAATTGAATTAGAAAAATGTTTTAAATGATAATAGCTAAACCTTTTTTCCTAAGAAAATGAAAATATGGAACTTTTGACAGTTTCCACTTGCCTTTCTACCATTGATTTCATCAGCCTGTACATTGTTTAAAATGTGGAGTGATCTTAAAAGAAGCAGGACACTTTAAAGACACCACTCTCGAGGTTTTTTGAGATTCATTTAAAGATGTGCTCGACAACTTAATAGTTTCTTCATGTCAATTGAATATCCAGATGAAAAATGAAAAATATCAGTATGCAGATGGAATGTCTATTGTGAATAAGTGTGAATCATAAGAATGAAGATACTTGTATTTATGGTGGTGATAGTGTGCATAAACCCTTAACACATCACTGGCTCTGAAAGGTCAGTAAACCACGGCTGCCTCAGTTTTTTTTTTTTTTTTTACAAATAGTTTATTGTCAAATTAGTTTCTACATAACACTCAGTGCTCATCCCCAAAGTGCCCTCCTTCATGCCCATCCCCCCCTCCCCCCCACATCCATCAGTCCTCAGTTTTTGTCAGCATTCAAGAGTCTCTCATGGTTTGCCTCTCTCCCTTTCCCCCACCATTTCCGCCCTTCTTCTCCCCCTTGGTCCTCCGTCAAGTTCCTCCTAATCCTCCTATACGTGCAAACATATGGTATTTGTCCTTCTCTGCCTGACTTATTTCGCTCAGCATAACACCCTCAAGGTCCATCCATGTTGCTACACATGGCCAGATTTCATTGTTTCTCATTGCCATGTAGTATTCCATGGTATAGATAAACCACATCTTCTTGATCCATTCATCTGTTGATGGACACTTAGGCTCTTTCCATGTTTTAGCTATTGTGGAGAGTGCTGCTATGAACATTGGGGTACATGTGCTCCTATGCCTCAGCATTTCTGTATCCCTTGGGTAAATTCCTAGCAGTGCTATTGCTGGGTCATAAGGGAGTTCTATTGTTAGTTTCCTGAGGAACCTCCACACTGTTTTCCAGAGGGGCTGTACCAGTTTACATTCCCACCAACAGTGCAGGAGGGTGCCCGTTTCTCCACATCCTCGCCAGCATCTAGAGTTCTCTGATTTGCTCATTTTAGCCACTCTGACTGGCGTGAGGTGGTATCTCAGTGTGGTTTTGATTTGTATTTCCCTGATGAGGAGGGATGCTGAGCATCGTTTCAGTTTTTTTGAAAAGTGCTTGAAATCTTATTTTATGTGTATTGGATGTAAAGAGCAAGTTGTTGTTTTTTAGACTTAAAAAAAGAAGATACACAGTTTGTCTGATTCTACTGACTTGGAAATTCCAAGAAAGCAATATTCTATATACTGAGCCTTGTCATTGCCTTCTAGGTATGTTTACCACAGTTCTAAATGGATGGTGGCAGGTAATGCTGACTCCCCTGTGCCACCTCGGGTGTACATTCACCCGGACTCGCCTGCCTCGGGGGAGACTTGGATGAGACAAGTGATCAGCTTTGACAAGCTGAAGCTCACCAACAATGAACTGGATGACCAAGGCCATGTGAGTAGATGACTTCCCTAAGGTGCCACCGTCGGTGATGTAGACATACCTATACTGTGTCTGCCTGAAGGGCTTGAACTTCTCTCAGATCAGAATATTCCTCTCTTGGTTGGTCAGCATGTGCCTGATTTGTGCAAAATCAAGGTTATATTTGCATCAGAGACTATACCTGGGCCTGAAACATACCCTATGAAACATTTAATAGGTTAAAACTAGATACTGCATTTATATTAAAATGAAAGAATCTCAGACAGACTTTTTTTGGCCAGAACGTATGTTTGAAACCCTATAAGATGCTAATTATTATGCTGTGAATATGAATACTTAGGAGTTGGGTCAACAGGGATAATGGTTTATTGTGTCCCGCCTGCATCTAGTCCTTTTTCCTGTTGAAGCTTATTGCTTCCCAGTAATGGTCCAGGCTTTCGCTATTTGTGTCCCAGTTTTGTAATGCCATCTAATGTGTCAAAATATGTTACAGTAACAGTTACTTTTAGTCTTAAAACTGCTGAAACATGATATATAGATCAAAATTAGTCATTCCAATAATACAGTGATTTTTAACACCTTATTAATTGTTATGCAATGTTATTCCTAGGCAAGACTTCTTCATTATTAATTTAATAAATAAGTAACTCTGGATACATGCTAATTTCTATCAAAAGCTAGCATTTCTATTAGGATTTTGTTATTTGAGATGGTTTTGATTGAGGCAGGACTGAAATGCTTTCTGAAGAGTTTATCATACATAAAAGGTATATCGAATATCAACTAGTTCATTTCTCAAAGTGTGACATAAAGATAGCATATTTATGAGCAAATCTTTTCAAACAAAAATGCAGATTGTCACAACCTGTTAACAGTTATGACAGGATATGATTTGTAAGTTGCTAGACAGTATCTTAAGCAATTGACCTTAATAAAAACATTCAAGTATAAATTTCTTTGTGATACTAATGCAGTATCTAGATTTTTAAGACACATATATTTTACATTGCTTCTGTTTTTGCTTTTTATGATTTAAAACAAAATTAGAGGGCTTAGTCAGTCTGACTCTTGATAACAGCTCAGGTCTTATCTCAGGGTTCTGACTTCAGGCCCTGCATTAGTCTGTGGTGGGTGTGAAGCCTACTTAAAAAGAAAAATCAGAAAAGCAACATAGTAGATTTCTGAATCCACCTTCATCCCCTCTATTTTAGTGCATTACTTTATTTTTGTTCTTTTTATTCTTCATTTACACAGTCAAGTTGTAACAGTTAGTTTTCACTTGACTTCAGGGAAGGAAGACAAGTTTCTTCTGTCTCACTGAGGGAACAGACTGAAGTATTGCCAGCATGTTCATTGAGGTGTCTTTTGTTTTTGGAATAGAAAATTTAAGAATAATACTGTTAAGTGTGACCTGTTTTCAAAAGCTTAAGTATCCTCTACTTTTCTGAGTTCTACAGTTTGAGAATATATCTTTTAAAGAGATAATTGGGTCTAAAAACTATACACTGTCATATATAAGGTACATACTTCTTTCAGTAATTTAAATACATTATGGTCACTTTCTAATTTAAAATTTTTCACTTCAGATAACCGGCTTTATATCTAATACTTAATGTATCTGCAATATTTGATGTAGATACAGTAATCTATCTGTATAATTTAAACTTTGTAATTTCTTTAGACTTTCTGTCAAACAGTATTCTCCAGAGGAGCAAAACCAGTAGAATGTGTAAAAATATATACATAGAGAGAGATTTATTTAAGGAATTGGCTCACATAATTGTGGGGCCTGGTAAGTCCCAGAACTATAGCAGCAGGCTGGAGACCCAGGGAAGAGTTGATACTGCATCTCAAGCATGAAGGCAGTCTCAAAACAGAATTCCTTTTTCCTCAGGGGAGGTCAGTCTGTTTCTTTTAAGGCCTTCAACTGATTGGGTAAAGCCCATCCACATTATGGAGGGTAATCTGCTTTACTCAAAGTCTACTCACTTAAATGTTAACCTCATCTAAAAAATACCTTCACTGGGGTGCCAGGGTGGCTCAGTCCTTGAGTGTTTGACTCTTGATTTTGGCTCAGGTCACGATGTCATGGTTTGTGTGTTCCGAGTTCAAGTCCTGCATTGGACCCTGTGCTGACAGCATGGAGCCTGCTTGGGATTCTCTGTCTCTCTGCCCCTCTGCTACTTGCTCTAATGCTCTCTCTCTCTCTCTCTCAAATAAATAAATAAATAAATAAATAAATAAATACATACATAAATAAACTTAAAAAAATTACAGATTCCTTCATAGCAACATCCAGACTGTTTTTGCCCAAATATCTAGGGAACATATCCTAGCCAAGTTGACACATAAAATTAATCATCACATAGCATTTGTTTAAACATAAAGAATACATTGCAATAGAAATTCAATTGCTTATACCTAAATAATTATAATATTTCACTTTTATGAAAAATAAAAACATAGAAAACAATAAAAATCTAGTGAAATGTGTCATTTATCAATGAAGTTTTACTTTTAAGTGTGTGGCAGGGTATAATATTTTAATACAGGGAGGTAATTAATGAGTATGTGAAATAGGGAGATAAAGATAGGTACCTGTTTTGGAAGTAAGAAAATTGCCTTTGTGCATGGTAAAAATATATGAATCAGTTGATACTAGAGAAGAATATAGGAGGGAAAATGCTCTTTTCCATTATTTATTTTTAAAAAGTATATATTTATTTTTATTATTTTCAAGTTTATTAGTTTATTTTTGAGATAGAAGGAGAGAGAGAGAGAGATGAAGAGAGAGAAGAGAGAGAGAGAGAGAGAGTGGGGGAGGGGCAGAGAGAGAGGGAGACGCAGAATCTGAACCAGGCTTCAGGCTCTGAGCTGTCAGCACTGAGCCAGATGTGAGGCTCAAACCCACAAACCATGAGATCGTGACCTGAGCCAACCTGAGCCAAACTTGGATTCTTAACGTACTGAGATGCCCCTTAAAAACATATTTTTTAAGACTTTGTAAAATGTATTATAAAATAAAAAGCCTTAATATCTGCCTTCAGTGATCTAGCCTAGATGGGGAGAGAAGACATGCACACAGAAGATCATGCTGTCAGCCTAGAGAAATACAGATGTCACATATTTCAGGTAGGAGAGATTAGGAAGGCTTCATGAAGAAGTTGTGTGCTGTATTTATATACTTGGTTTGATGATCCCAAGTGAGGTTAGATTGGAGATTAGGAAATTGTTTCTTATTCTATTGTTTATTTGTTTATTTTTAAGTAGGCTTCACACCTAGTGAGGAGCCCCATGCGGGGCTTGAACTCAGGTTCCTGAGATCAAGAGTTGGATGCTTAAACGACTGAGCCACCCAGGCGTTCCTCTTATTCTATTGTTGATATGATTCAGCATGTAGAAAGACAGTAGTACCATTTTGGTAGGACTTTCTAATTCACTAGTCCTTTTCTTGATGCAGAGACCTCTCAGGAGCTCACCCCTCTGCCATCATATGGTTAAGGTTGGCCTTCCTGCAGTTAATTTCTAACTAAACAAACTATAGACACAAATGAGTGATGAATTTTGGTTTCTTACCTTTATTGGCCTCTCCCCTCCCAGTTTTACTCTTCTAAAAGTATATAAGCATTCAACATAGTGACCTGAGAACTGCATTGTAGACTCAGGACTTTTATTAAACACAGTGTGTTTAACATAGGAATCAAATCCTCATGGGGCTGTGACTGGACGTAGAACTGCATGAGACATGAGGTTATGTGCCACTAGGTTTTCCTCAATGTGACTTCATCTTTCCAAATACCAGGGATTATTTAAAGAGGAATATTGGAGAGAATGTAGGCTGGAATGTCTTACCCCTCCACAAGTAATCCTTGAATGTTGTAAAGACTTTATAATCTCTACATATCCTTGGGGAATTCGTAACCAGCTTTATGTTGTATTGTATACAACCAAGACTGGCCCGTGGGCTACTCATGTGCAGATGGTTAGCATGCTTGGGTAAGGTATTTCCTTCTCATCATGTGCATGGTTCTCTATTCATCTGGAGTTTGTTGTCTGGAGGGAAACATTTTACATGAACATCTCTGAAGAATTAGAAGACATTCAATAGGTAATGGTGTCTCTAAACCTTGGCAGGACTCCCACTCACAGTGTTGAGGTGCTTTGGAAGGTGCATGACCAGCCTACCATAGTCAGGAGACCTGTGGAGGATCCCTTTCTCATCTGCCAATGCATCGGTGACATAGTCACCCTAGCTCTAAGTTTGTCCTCACCCTCTTTCCATTTCTGCTTGAGAATCAGGTGGGGAAGTAAGGTATTACAAGGGGGATTGCCAAGATCTCTTTGAGGAAGAGACTTATAAGAGCTTGGCGATTCAACATGTTCATGTTCATGAGCACGTCACTTTGGCTCTCCCAGGCTTGGTTTTCTCGTGTGTTGTATTAGAACCAGAGGATTTTGAGTGAATCAGATGAGCTGGTGAACTTGAAAGTACATATTTGTAAGGCATGTTTTATATTCAGTGTCACATCTGAGACAAAACCAAGGCCGTCTTGCTTTGGAGCTCGTGATCAAACGTTACTGTCTTGACCTCTCCCATTTAAAGTGAATCAGTGCCAGTTATCACCAATAATGCAGGGAGCTGCATATCTGTTCCTCCTCGGCCCTTTGCTTGACTTGTTCCAACACTGGCATTTAGGTCATCTAGAAAATTTCCAGAGTCAGCAGGTAATGTTTCCTTATTGAGCTGTGTTGTTAAGGCACAGCTGGCCTGTCTGTCAATCTTCAGGCAGTTTAGGCCCTTGACTTTAGACGTAAGTAATATCATGCTTCTTTTGACTCAAAACTAGTGTCTTTAAAGTGTAAAAGACATGTATTAAAAAAAACCGTTCATGAACATTAGTCAATGTGACTATCTGTTACTAGGTAATGCCAGAAAGAAAAAAAAATCTTCCATTTAAACAGAACAGAGGGCATGGTACATGCAGATCCAATATAATTATTTGAGTTTCAGCATTATCATGCTGGCCTTCTTGTTTATAGGGCCAGTAGTTCTCCTGGTTTTACTTGTTTTATTAAATAAGCGAAAAGATATTGACCGCTCATCATCATAAGTTTGATAGACCATTAAAAAGCAAATAATGGTATTTTATACAGAAGAACTGAGGTGTGTTTAGCATTACCTGAAAACGTCCAGGAATATACTAAATCCCTATAGATAAAATTGAAAACATGTTATTTTGCTTGAATGATCTCCAGTTAACTGGAGTTAATGGCAGTTTAAATGGCATTTGCCATTTAATGTGCAAACATAGGCATGCCTCAGCTACTTCTGTACTCTACCCCAGCATACCCCACTTTAGGTCATTTTGGAAATTCTGTAAGGATATAAAGAAGGAAATAAAATTTAAACATATATAGCAATATGAAGAAATCTGCTTGAGAGAACAAAGACTTCATAAATTCAGAACCTGCATTCATGGAATAGTAAACAGAAACCCAAATCAGTTTTAGTTTCCTTTATTCCAAGTTAGTTTATTCCAGTCTTCTGAAATGAGCTATGTATTTATTTTAGTTTGTTTGATGTGAAGTAGCTTTCTCCATTTTTCCTTCTATTCTGGAGTTACTGATCATTACAGTCATTAGAATAAATCTTGCATTTGTGTTTTTCAGACTTTATGATTCACACAACCACATGCACATATTACATTATGATCTAGTGTAAACACACACAAAGTGAACAGTGTTTTGCAAAACAGTACTTATCCTTACTATAAGGAGCACACTTGATGTTTCTACTTTATAATTTTATTTATTTAAATAATTTCTTGTTGAGGCATATTAAATTGATTTTTGTGAGCCACTAATGGGTTATTGAAGTTCTGTCCTTTTTTTAGACCTGGAAAGGTTATTGAAGTTCTGTCCTTTTTTTAGACCTGGAAAGAGACTTCCAGAAGTTGCAGATTCATGTGTGTGTCCACACGTGACCGTGAGAGCTATTGTATTCTCTATCCTTTCCTTAAACTCACACCACCTCCCCATCAAGTGGATCTGGTGGGCACTATCATTAGATCTGCCATCCAGGCATTTCCTCTCCTGATAGAAAATTTTAGGGTGAGGGGTGTCTGGGTGGCTCAGTTGGTTAAGCGTCCGACTTCGGCTCAGGTCATGATCTCATGGTTGGTGGGTTTGAGCCTCGCATCGGGTTCTGTGCTGACAGTTCAGAGCCTGGAGCCTGTTTTGGATTCTGTGTCTCCTTCTCTCTCTGACCCTCCCCTGCTCATGCTGTCTCTCTCTGTCTCTGTCTCTGTCTCTTTCTCTTTCAGAAATAAATAAAGCATTTTTTAAAAAAAAGAAAATTTTAGAGTGAAAACCAAAACAAAACTGACCACTGTGCTGGTTACTGCCCTAGAGTAAAGACATCCTCTTATGGTAATAAACACGCTTTCTGGGTATAGAGCTCTTTGTTTTTGGGCTGACCAAATATTCTGAGTTTGGCTTCCAATAAACTGCCTGCACCTGAAAAACACGAGGCAGGTCAATCACTGTGCTTTTCCAAGACTTTGTTTAAGTATTTTTCTCTCAACTCCCAACCCCCCAAATCTGAATTCAGATCATGGACGTCTGGAAAGATAGAGTTTTATTAACTAAACTAATTAATGAATACCTGACTATGGACTCCCAACAGCAAATAGAAAATTTCATTGGATAAGGATATTTCTTTACTCCACCTCCTATGCCTCGAAAGCATAAAATGTATACAGAAGGAGAAAAAAAATTCACCCACAATCCCATTATCTAGACGTGATCACTGTTCATATATTTCTGTGGGTCCTTTTTATTGTCTATTTTCATATAGTTGTGATAGGTTTATAAACAACTCGGATCGTTTAACGTTTAAATAAGCATTTTATTCTGTGGTTAAAAATGTCCTGAACAGCAGTTAGTAATGGCTGAATAACATCTGTCCTATTGTACAGACTCTCATTGACCTAACTAATCTGCTCATGTAGTTTATTGTTTTTCCACTGTTATAAATGGTGCACTGCCCATTCTACATGAAGTGCTTTTTTGGGGTTTGAAATATTTCCTTAGGATAAATTCTCAGAAGTGAAATCATTGGGTAGAAGGTAGTTGAACCATATTATCAGATTTCCCTAGTAGAGTCTGAGTGCATTAGCTTTTCCATCCCCAGGTGCCTGGGTTTTGGAAGTTTCATTGTGATGAAGGTATGGACACTGGGTTCTCTGGGCAAACCAGGGATGCTGCAAGCCACAGACAAAGCAGACCCTTGGGTCTTCTTAAAATTCCTTTTGCTGTGAATAGACATGTTGTCATCACCAATAGAGGAAAAATGCTCTCTTAAGAAAAACCTTGGTGTGCAAATACTTACTTTTAGAGGATGATTGTGGTGGAATTTAAATAATAATTTTAATCTCATTTTTGGTTTTATTGATTTGGACTTTTATATTCCATTTGGCTCATTATAAATGCTGATGAATTCTTGTATTTTCAGACATACATAGAAAATTAGATGTTAAGTTCATGGTTATTCACAGGGTTCTACCAAAATAATGACTTTCTTTTCCCTTTTATAGTTTTATGCATATTTTACAAATAACTTCTTAGCCCTTCCTCTATAGTTTTGATAGACTTTATTAAATTTGCACTTTTGCCAGTTTTTCTTACACATTAAAAGTTTAGTCATGGTGTTAAGCTTAGGCAGAAGTTCTTGATATATTTGGCCTTCTTTCCTTGACACAGATTATTCTTCATTCTATGCACAAATACCAACCACGAGTCCATGTCATCCGTAAAGACTGTGGGGATGATCTTTCTCCCATCAAGCCTGTTCCATCTGGGGAGGGAGTAAAAGCATTTTCCTTTCCAGAAACTGTCTTCACAACTGTCACTGCCTATCAGAATCAGCAGGTATTGTTCTCAGAATTGGTATCTTTCTACACTTTTCATTTCGGGTGTAAATTGAAAGCTAGCAATCCTTTTCACCATATCTAAATGTTACCAAGTGTCATAAAGCATTTGCCATGTAAGACATGTAGGATGTGTGTGTGTGTGTGTGTGTGTGTGTGTGTGTGTGTGTATAAAAACAAATCCTTATCTGTGATTCTCCAAGTAAGGCTACTATCACGAGATTTTCTTTAGATAAGAATGTGCTTCATGACTGACAATGTAAGTTTACTTTCCATTTTGAGGTATTGAATCATGAAGTCATAATTAAAATTAAAAAGCATGTGTATTGCCTAGGAAATACACAAGAAGAATATGAAAGATAACACATTATTTTAAAACTATAATCCATGAATTATAGGAAATATTTCAGAGGCATTTATCTTATGTAGTCATTTTGGTACATATGCAAAAGGGCTGTTTCTTTCAAGATATGCTTTAATTGTGACAATAGGTGATACACATGCTTATAAGCTGAGAGAACAGAAATTGTGGAATAATCTTTTCATAAAATTAGTAATAATTTTAGAGGTGAAATATTTTTGATATTGGTAAGTATATGTGTTTCTTTAAGGCTGTGTCAAGTAAGTGGAAAATTGATTTGAGGCAGTTTTTTAGTCCATGCAGTTATGACGAGTTTGCATAAAAAATAGTGATGTAGTTGTAGCTAATGTGGTCTGTGGTAGATTTTTTTCCTTTTTAATTTTAGTGATCAACAGAATTATTTTAGCTTTCTACTTCTCATTACGTTTATTTACATCTCAGTTAAATGTTAATCTCTGTTGTGGTTTCTGTTGTTCTATAGCTTATAAGGAAGTTTGGATCTTGTCCCCTGCATCTTCCTTTAGGGCTGGGAGGCTCATCCACTCTCATCCATGAGGAGTTGCTGGTCCCACAGCCAAAGCTGTCCTGTTCTCTCATTCACATTGCCGCGCTTTTATATAGACTTTAAGAAAGAAGTATGAAATTAACCTTTAGAAGGACTGGAGATAATTAGGAACATATTCTTAAAATATATTAGGTGCAGAGAATGAATTTTTTTTTGTTTTAGGAAAAAAGCATAAGGAGAAAAGAACTAAGACATTCAGTACCTTTTAAGCAGCCCCAGGTTATCTTCTTTCTCTGTCTCTGCCTTTCTCTGTCTCAAACACAAACAAATTAGCCATGTCAAATGTGAGTTTTCCCCCACCCTCTGTGTTATAATAAACAAGATATAGTAGGCTTTTGGTCCATGTTGGTGACTACGCCAATTGACAAACATTGACAAATCAATCGATTAATGGAGTAAAAAAAAAAATAAAAGGGAAATTGATAATGACAAAATGCAATGATATTCATTTTTTATCTTCTTGGCTACTGTTTTTAAGAATTCATTGAAAATTGGTAAGCAGCTTAGACCGGTGTTTAGCATGGGTTCTGAAGCCTAGAGCCCCAGCCTAATTCTACGGCCAAGTTACTTTATGAATGAAACCATAGGAAACTTAAGCCCCAGTTTAAAAGAAAACATAAAATTGTGATAATAACTACATATAAGTTGCCATGAGAATTAAATGAAATATGTGCATAAAATTCTCAGTACAGCGTACATAGTATGCACTCAGTAATACAAATAATGATAATAGTAGCATATCTCTGTTCAGACAAGTCACCATTATATAAATCTGTACTCTTTTTTGAAATACTACTTTAAATGAACATTTAAATTATTTAATGTTATTTAAATATTATTTAAATGAACAAAGAATTAAGCTATAATGAATTATAAAGAACTCCTTCAATGGCAGAATGGCAAACATGCTGAATTAATTAGCAAACCTTTACATTATATCCTTTATAATGTAGTTTTATCCACATACTAAGACAATATCATATAGAGCACATATATCTCAGGTGGTGCACAGAGCACACAGAGGACAATATAGGGGACTGCAGATGACTTTTCAAGGATGCCTTTTCTGTGCCTTAGTGTTGTCCAATAGTGGTCATTTGTCTTTAGCAAAATGGTATCATCAGAAGTATGTTCATTAACTTGGTAGATACCATTAAACCAAAGAGCATAAAAAACAAAGCACGATGTGCTTCTTACAAAATAGGCCTATAAATTCCTTTGGGCAAGGTGCAGATCTGTTAAAAAATAGATGGGATGTTGTTTATTAGTGTCAATTACAAGATGGTATAACTAAAAAATATGTTTAATGGAGATTATTAGACCATTTGTAAAATTTCCACCTCCAAATGTGAGTTAAAATTGAGACATCATTTAGTTCTACTACTTGAATAAGACTTAATCTCATTAGAGCCTTCCAGTAGTGTTTATCCCTGGTAAGACATTCACTATACTGCTCTGCTCAGGTCAGGATTCAACAGAAAAAAGAGGAAAGAATAAAACTTTCAGATGAGACCCATAAAGATGATTCAAAGAGAGACAAAGAAAAACACAGAGACAGAAAATTTAAAGAAGTGTATATTGCCTTCAGAAGAAGACAGGGATATGTAGAGGCTTAATAGCATTCAAGTATATAAATAACTTGAATACAGAGAAGTTGGTTATTAGCTGTTATCCATTACCAAGAAAAATAGGATTAAGCCATGTCACGGAGTTAAAGGGAAGAGCTTTAGTTCAGAGGGATTGTCAAAGGACAAGTTATCAAGAGAAGATTCAGAATTTCTTTCTCTAGTGATATTAAAAGCAAAACTAATTTTATCTACAGAATTTGGATAGGGATGAGGATTGTCTTTTTCTTAACAGATGAATGTCTAGGTGATTTCTAACATTTTCTTCTAGATTTGCAGCTAATAATAATAAAATATCTGAGAAACAGGGGAGAAGAACACAGTGAATTTTGGAATTACTTGTAGTCCTACCATTTTGGTCTTTAAAAACCTTCCTTGACGTTTCAAATATTTGATATAACTTTTTTTCTACCCTGCAGATTACTCGTCTGAAAATAGATAGGAATCCATTTGCCAAAGGCTTTCGAGACTCTGGGCGTAACAGGTAAGTCTTAGTGAGGAACATTCTGGCTCTGATAAATATATCTGATTTTTTATTGTGAATTTTCCATTACAAAGTAAAGAGTTAAATTTACTGACATGGTTTTGAAATCATTTTCTGATGAGGATTAAAATTTGTCGGTAACACTGGATCTTGGATGTAACTTATTTTGGGGTGTAGTGCTATGGCCTGCCCATTCCTAAGGTGAACTTTGATGTGTGATGCTGGCTGAAAAATGGAAGTTCTCAGATGCACACTGCATGCCACCTTCGAAGGGGCCTTGAGGAAACCTACCCTTTACGTACAGGGCTTCAGTGTTCCACATCAGTAAGTCTCTCTGCATCTGCTCTTGGTTTAGAATTTGCTTAGTGATGTCACGAAAATCTATTGATTCTGTCTTTCGAACATGATGGGTTTTCTCTTTCCCACAGGTTTCCAGTTAGAATATGAAACTACTCCCCATTGCCAAGAGAGCTGATGTTCTTCAGTTTCCAAATTTGTCTTGGCTCCGCTGACAGCCACACACTTGTTTATTTTTTCTGTGTCGTGTTTTATGGTGTTTGTACTAAGTGGGAGAGCTACAGTAATGAATTCTGCTCTATTACGTTTATCAGAAAGCAGATCACCCTAGTCTGTGTGCCAAGGGTTTTTGAATTTATTGATATGATTCGATTCCAATATAGTTTGGTGCAACATTTTCTAAAATAAGTATTGATGGTAATAGAGAGTAATAATAGACTAACGTTCTCCAGATGCCTTTTCAGGGTAAGGCTTTGCCTTAAATGTTTTTAAAAGCATTTTGCTTTTAGGAAGAAATACTGGAGAAAGTTTTATCATTTTACTCCAGAAATTATTCTAACACTTCTTGAAAACTTGGTATGCACAGGCTATGTCTGCAAGAAGTCAAATCCCCAATTATCTTGTTTTAGGGACCATTTGATTTAAAATTGTAGAGTGAAAACAATCAGGTAGTAGTCCAGATTTTTCATTCTTACAATTGATTAATCAGGCAAGGTTGGTGCAGAGATTTTTTTCTCAGAGTATACTCAAGTGCCTGCAGAGATTTGATTTCATCTTCATATTCAATGGCATTATTTAAACACTATGCAATGGGAGGACTAAAATGCAGCTGAAAGGCATTGAGAGTAGAGTATCCTTTAATTTAGTGCAGGTAGATCAACAAGGCTGATGAATAATAGGACTAGCTAATAATTCCCTCTGAAATTCTTCATTCTGTAGGAAGATTTGCAAGTATTCCTATAATACCTGTTGTCTGAGATTTTGAAATTATTCTATCTTTTTTAGATGTCTGTTTTACTGTGGAGAACAGCTCTGCTTGGCTTTTGCTGTTACATTAGCTCTTGGTTACCTATGCTGTTCAGAGGAGTTTCTAAAAGCTGAATAATCTAGTAACTGAGATGGTCACTGGTGAGGGACTAAAGGGAGCCTTTGGGGGGACTTCTTTTCTACCTTGACAAGTACTTTGATGGGATCTTCTTGTGCTTTTGGTTATAGCAGTATAGTATTTATCCATTTAAGAGTCTTGCATACTTCAATTCATTATTTTTTTAAAGCAGAGAATACATTTATTAAAACTCCCTGAAACTCCAGAAAGGCAGCATTGAGGCTTAAAGAATATATAGCCAGGAACTGTGTCTAGCTTCTCCTGTACCACTGACCTAGCAAACACATCGCTGCTGTCGATACTGGGAGAATCACACTGCTTGTATACTGTCTGTTCATTTTTGAAGCAATACATTTAAAAGTATTTTTAAAGGTGTATATTGGATAGATAACAATAGTGAATAAACCTATAAACAGAAGTGAGATGATAAGATGCATATGACAAGTTTTCAGGAAGAATTCTAGAAATGTCAGTGTAATGAAAAGCCATTGGATTTTTAAAATTTGGTCAGTGAAAAAATATCTGTGGGATTGATGAAAATAAACTAAGTCCCATGTTTGGTATCATGAAGTCAAAATGCTAGGTTTGATACGAATTTTTTCCTTCCCTTTGTTTGACAAGTATAGAGTTGTGGCATCCATGGTGCTCGCTACCATTTCTTTCCTGACTCAAAAATTTTTAGTTTTTTTTTTTTAACTTTTTAAAAAATTTATGTTTATTTAGTTTTGAAAGTGAGAGAGACAGAGTGCGAGCAGGCGAGGGGCAGAGAGAGAGGGAGACACAGAATTCGAAGTAGGCTTCAGGGTCTGAGTTGTCAGCACAGAGCCTGATGCGGGGCTCAAACTCACAGACTGAGAGATCATGACCTGAGCCGAAGGCGGACGCCCAACCAACTGAGTCACCCATATGCCCCTAAAATCTTTAGTTTTTAACGGACATACAGAACATAATGAATTATGTTTTAACACTTTTTAAATTTTAACACTTTGTTAAGTTTTTTGTTTTGCTCCAAATATTTAAGCAATATTATAGTACAAGAAAAACATGCTGAGCTTATACATAACTTTATTAGTGAAATAAATAATTTCACTTTTTATCTCATTAAAATTAATTTTTCCTACTTTTCAGGAAATAAATAGCTTTTCAGTCCTTATTTTGGGATGCTAAATATTTATAAATCAATATCCTCTATTTAAAAATTTAATTTTAACATTTTCTATTGATATATGCAAATATGCATATATAGAGGACAGGGAGTTTGGTCAGCTTTAAAGACTGCTAACTTATCTATTATTTTCCCTAAGAAAAGACTCAGTTATAGGTAAGACTTGGAAGGTGCATTAATGTTGGAGGCTTGGGGAAGGAGTGATATTTTTTCATAGAAATAGAGAAGAAAGCCCATGAGAAAAAGTTAATTATATTCCCATAATACCCCTGGTTCTGTTGTCTTGTTGTTACTACTTTTTAAACATAAATTTTGTTTTTATTTTTGCCGTGCACATGAAATAAGCAAATTAAGCAGGACAAGAAATAAACATGGACTTGTGATTTTTTAAACTTTATAAAACAATTTGCTTTAATTAAAAATTATCCCTTCCTGGTTATTTATGGTTCTACAGCCTATTTTATAGGAATCAGTAGCTTCAACCCTTAAAAGCTCTCCTGCAAGACATTTGCTATGTGAAAGAGAATTTATGTGCTGAGAATAGTTTCATTCTTCAGTTAGGCCTTGGGTTTGACCCTATAAAATTTTTTACTCAGGAAGGTACAGAAATTTCTCTGCTTTAAATACTTCAGGAAAAACATAACCATTTTACTAAATAAACTTGGCCATTTGATAGCATAAATTAGGGTGGCGATAAAATGTGGAAATTGTTCAAAGGCATCTTGTATAAATTATCGCCTTGGCCACACTCCTGCAGGAGGTGCCTTTTATCTTTTCTTTAACTAGATGGGAAAAGTCTCCATTACTGAAGAAAATGAAGGCCTTTTTTAAAAAGTCCAGATTCAGCTAATAAATATTTTATAACTGTTTCCTGCACAATATCTGAAATCCTTTTTGGAACTTGCAGTGTGAAACAGCAGCCTCAAGAAAAATATCAATAGCTCTGAGTCAGATCACTTGTCGATATGTCACCTTCCAGAGCATCCCTTTAGAGCTTGGGATTATACGTTTGTGATGATCAATAACGTCTCCCCCAGAATTTGGTCTGTGGATTTGTATTTGAAGCATAATAAAGTTTATGCTTTACGTAAACAATATATGTGGCTAAAAATAATGTGGCAATGCACATCTGTGTAGTTAATAAATGTCTAAGTCCAGTGGATGCTTATTAGTTACCTCTTGGCAAACTCCCCTTGAGACCACTCCATGACCACTTTGGTATCCTTAGTATTAAATCCATGATTACTAAAACTCATCTATGTGGTAAGAAAAAAGCAGTTTTATACAAAAGTGCATCCTAACATTCTTGAGCATTTAAAAAGCTTTTTTCTATAAAGTCATAAAAAATGAGTACAAACTAAATATAGATGAAACAGATAAATAGTCCCCAGCATTCATTAGTTGAGTATTAAATGCATCCTGCAGGCTACATGGGTTTTGAGGCTGACCAAGCTGCCAAACTGCCCCCAAATCAATACTTCATGTACATAAAATATTAGTGAGTAGAGTGATCTTGCACTTGGCGTGTAGTCAGCCCCAGATATGATGTCTGGTTTTGGAAAAATCACTTAGTAGCAAACAACTTTAGAGCTAGGAAATGAGGCAGAGCTTTTGTATACGAATCCTCACTTTGTGAGAAACTGAAGTCCAGGGAGGTTAAAACATTTACTTAGGGTTACACAGTGAATTTTAATGAGTTGCAGCCACAGCTCAATTCTCCTGACCCCCAGTCTAGTGTTCTTACTATAAATAATCCTCTCTCTGTAGAACACTGATTATATCCAAAGCCAGATTCTACCCTTCACTCTCAGTGCAGCCCAGGTATAAGGCAGGTGCAGATCCACTCTGTGCCCCACTCTCCCCTTTGACAGCCCAGTACTAGCATCTATGGGGGGCTGGTGATGGCTCTTTGAAGTGCTCCAAGAGCAGCACCCCCTGAACTTGTGACTCGAGAGATGAGTCAATCCTTGTGTGGGCTCGTGCATGCATTCACACTACCCATCCACACACATATCGCTGTCCCTTCTGTCACTAAGATGTGGTAGTGATGCTCCGTGGAGTCATTATAGACATCAAAAAATTAATAGATTCTACATTCTAAACACTGTAATAAGGTAAATCCAGTGTGTAAAATCTTAGAACTGTAGGCCAAGTTGTATAAGATGGTTTTATCTGCACATAGAACTTACTATAAGTGTTTAGACAGTTTTCCCCATGTTGTGTAGGTGATATGACTCCAGGGCCAGGGGATCCTCTAGTCTTAGTTCATAGTTCCTTACTTGGGGATGCAAGGTATCCAGAGGAGGTAGCAAGTTGAATGCAGGCTATTAGAGAAAGACCTGATCTTTAACATTTGCTTTAAATACAAATTATCTGTGTTAAATAAAAGTGTGTCTGACAATCACATAAGATGTCTGAGGATTGCTGGACACTCAGAAAGTAGGCATTTCCTACAATGGAGCTCAACGTTTCATGAAAGTCACAGTGTTATTAAGATTAACAAATTGCTTAGGGCTGTGGTAGTTGAGGGAAAACTGAGGTCTTGAGAATGGGCCAGTTGAGTGAAGTCCCTCATTTCCAGAACATAGAGGACTTAGTTAATCTGATAGAAGGAGAAGATGATTCTGAATCACTTATGGTAGGAGATACATACCTTTATGTCTGTATTTAGAGTAGTTACCCTTGGTTTCAAAAATACATATGTCATGTAAATAGTTTACAACCAACTTGTCCTGTCTCTTTAAGTATTCGTTCATTAAGCATATGTAGGGGCCTGAAAAGAATGACGCTAATACTAGCTCCAGATACTGCACCAGCCTGTGAGATCACCTTCCTGTGTTCCTCCTGCATGCTGGGCTGAGAAGTCAGTGCTGCCTTCTACCCACCTGGACTCTCTGTTGTTGGAGGGGGAGCCCATCCTGGCCTTCCTGGGTGTGGTGAAGATTGTGCCCCCCAGAGAGAAGTCAGTTTTCTTTGGATGTTTTTCTAAAGCTGGCTATTGAGACACCGAATGATGGGCAGAAATCCTTCTTCAGAAAAATTGGCTTTACAGGGTCATGCTTTTGTGGCAAAGCCTTGCTCATTAGAAGTAATGTTACAGGGAGAGAGGTTGGATTCCAGATCCCAGCAGGTCCTTGGACTCACATCAGCTAGGATGGACCACTTCACCTCAACTCCTTAGCACAGAGGGACAGCTTTTTATTCTCCGAGATCAGCTTAGTTTTCCCGAGAACATTAACAGGACATCTTGGGTGGCTTCCATCATCCTGTATGCCTGGTGGCAGAATGTAGCCCTTTTCTGAAGCATTTCTTTCTATCCGTGCCAAACTCCTACCCTACCAACATAGGGGGGCCCACCGTCAACACCAGTGATGTTTTCTGCGCTGCTTATTACTGGCGAAAGATCCAACTGCTCCTAACTAGGCTTCTTTTGTCCGCCTCCATCCCGATCCTTCCATTTAGAATGGGTTTGGAAGCCCTTGTGGAGTCATATGCATTCTGGAGACCTTCACTGCGGACTCTCACCTTTGAAGATATCCCTGGAATTCCCAAGCAAGGTAAAACACAAAGTCTCCTGGTCATAGATACAGCCCATTCTTGACTGGAAGCTCGGGCACTGAAAAATGAATGAGTTGTCATTTGTGTCTACAATGGTGACCTCATTACCACCGACCTCTTGTGACAGGATCCATCTCTTTTCTGTGTGGAAGGTGGATGGGGACTAGAAAAATGGCTGTTGTGGTCCATCGGTTAAGTCTGGGATGTTTTAGGCTGTTTATATATTTTGTGACCCTTACATCACCCTTAAATGTCTTGTTAAAATTAGCGTCAGACTGTGGGCTCTTGTGCCAGGTGCACTGCCCAGGGAATTGCCAGTGGTGGTCCCAGTTCACCCTTTCTTGCCAGCCTCTTTCCTCACTTTCTTCAGCACCATTGCCCCGAGTCAGGGTTCTCCTGTTGGATTTATGCTGAGAAGGGCAGGCACACTCAGGCAGACTTCCCTGGGCTCACCTCTGAGTATTTCCCCCAAACTCAGGCTAGTGTTTCCTCGGGAAGCTGCATGCAAAGGAATGATGCTTCCTTCTTGCTCAGTAGGTAGGACTCTCAGCCCACTTCAGCACTCAGGCTTTTTATGCTTGATCCTGCCCAGCACCCCGGTGACAATTAACATAGCTGGGTTTTAGATAATTATCATTGACCAGCTCGGGCTTTTAGATTATTTTGAGAAGCTATATAAAACACTGTTGCTGGAGCAATGAAGGCTTTACAACCTGTCCAGCCTGTTGGAATTCTCTCCCCCTAACTTCTGTCAGGTTTGCAAACATCAATCTGCCAGCAAATCCAGAGAGGAGGAGTGGGCTACCACCACCATTATTGATTGGACCCAATCAATCTCTGTTTCACAGGACTGTTTCTTTGGTGAGCCTCTGCTCTCGTATTAGCATGTGAGCCACCAACCTGTTTTCTGGTTGGAAGTAAGATTTTTGAAGTTCTAGACTCTTGTCTTCTTGCAATAGCCCTCTGGGTTATAGCCATTGATGCACACAAGCTTTCGGTGGGAAGCTACAGATGTATTTGAAGCAGGATGTGTCTTTGACCAGTTTGGGTCTTTCCTTTGATTTCCTTCTATTTTCTTGCAAGAAAATCCAGAGCAAGGTCTGCTGAAAGAGTAAAATTGGGAAAGAAGACCAGTGATGGCTATACTTTTGGAAGAAGATACAGAGTGAGATGAAATTTATAAAGTTGTTAGGAAAGTCAATATTTTATATTAGAGAAAAATCTAAAACCTTTGGGAAAGCTAATGGAGAGAGAAAATGTGGAAATTCTGTGTTGCAGTGTCCTAGTATCTTCTGCAATTAAAAAAAAAAAAATGATCCTGGGGAGATCATTTGCCTTGGAAATATTGAGAGGGCCTGTGTCTGAAATGTTTCAGTTGGAATTCAGTTAAGTTCTAATTCCTTGAGAGACAGAACCATCTCCTTTTCATCGTTCAGTGTAGGCTTCCTTGTGACAAGCTGTGTCTAGCTCAGGCTCACAAAATCGGAAGGCAGACATGGCTGTAGAGTCATTGCTCTTTACATTTCAACTTCTTTTGTAGGAAATACAAGTTCCTCCACATTGCTCCAAGGCTCTGGGAGTGGTGTCCCTGCCACCCACCCTCATCTTTTGTCTGGCTCCCCTTGCTCCTCTCCTGCCTTCCATCTGGGGCCCAACACCAGCCAGCTGTGTAGCCTGGCCCCGGCTGACTACTCCACCTGTGCTCGCTCTGGCCTCACCCTCAACCGATACAGCACATCCTTGGCCGAGACCTACAACAGGCTTACCAACCAGACCGGCGAGACCTTTGCTGCGCCCAGGACTCCTTCCTATGTGGGCGTGAGCAGCAGCACCTCAGTGAACATGTCCATGGGCGGCGCTGATGGGGACACTTTCAGCTGCCCACAGACCAGCTTGTCCATGCAGATTTCGGGGATGTCCCCCCAGCTCCAGTACATCATGCCTTCACCCTCCAGCAACGCCTTTGCCGCTAACCAGACCCATCAGGGTTCCTATAACACTTTCAGGTTACACAGCCCCTGTGCCTTGTATGGATATAATTTCTCTACATCCCCCAAGCTGGCTGCCAGTCCTGAGAAAATTGTTTCTTCCCAAGGAAGTTTCTTGGGGTCCTCACCGAGTGGGACCATGACCGATCGGCAGATGTTGCCCCCTGTGGAAGGAGTGCACCTGCTTAGCAGTGGGGGTCAGCAGAGTTTCTTTGACTCTAGGACCCTAGGAAGCTTAACTCTGTCATCATCTCAAGTGTCTGCACATATGGTCTGATGAATCCTTGAAGTTAAAGCATATTCAGATTGGTCTAATGTATTTTCTTTCTTTGTTTTCTTTTTCTTTTTCTTTTTTTTTTGAAAGCAGTATGAAAAGAAACTGTCAGTAGCTTGTAAGATTTACATATAATAGGAAATGAAGACTCACTGAGTGTTTTAACTTTCTCATGGTGAGATTGTAATTATCTCTGGTATATACATATACTGTATATAGCATGTGGAGTTTTGCAGCCTACAAAACCACATCCTCCCTCTTCCCCCTTCCCCCATTTCATCTAGTTGCACACAGTATTGGCATAAATAGTGTAATGTTTAACCAAAATTCTCAGACTCTTTTAAAAACCAAACAGCAAACTTAAAACTTGGCAGTGATACTAACCAGACCGAGACTTATAACTTAATTTATCAGCAAAATGCTCTACACAGTTTCATACTTGAGTGTTGATAACTAACAGTAACCAGCACACAGAGTCTTGTGATTTCTGTTATTCTTGGGCACAATGTGAGAACCTAAAATGAAAAAGCCAGTTGAGGTCTTGGTTTAGTTCTGAGGTATTTGTAATCATGAAGGATTAGCTTTTGTGTTCTTGCTTGCTCTTGTTTGTCACAGATAGTACATGACCTTGGTTCTGTAAAAATCCATGACCTATGATAATTTTTCACTTAAGTAAGGTGAAAGAGAGGCTTGTACTTTCTTTTCACTTTCTGTTGGGTATGTAAGAGGTACTTATTCATCTTCAGAGAATAAATTCCTAGTATTTTGGATTTTTTGCTCATTTTATTTAGCTTAAGTAGACCATTAAAGAATGTTCTAATAAATATTTTCAAATTCCAGTTTTCACCAGGGAAGGAATATATGATATGAGTGGAATGGCAAAGAGAAAATAAATCCACCTCAAATTCTTTGATTCCAATGAGAAATGTCTGTCTTTTTAAATCAAGAAGAATAATGTTGTCAGCTATCCCTTAGATTTTTATAGTGTGGCTTTTCATTCAGGATATTTTTTTCTATTTTGCTTTGAGATTCCTGATCCATGGTCTGTAAGTAAGGAAAAAAGCATTTATGCTACTTATTTATGTCTTCATAACCCCTACAAATTGAAACCTCCCTCCCTCCTTAACTTTGTTTCTCTGAATCTTTCCTGAAACAGATAGATTCTAGGCTTTTATGGTATTAAATAACACTGTGAGGAATTTCAGGGGGTTATCTCCAGCAATCTGTCTTTTGGGGGTTGTAGTGCAAAGGCCAAAGCCCATTACTATAAAGACCCTCTTAGAGGATGAAGGAGGAAGATACTAATTATGATAAAGGATCTATAAAACTTTTAACCTCAGCAGCATTTTCGACCTCAAAACTGGGAAAATAAAAATTAATTTTTGAAAAATTCCTAAATAATGTATACATGGTTTAAGATTTCGAAACAACTTTGATGCATATTATGAGATGAGTAAGAAAGGCTAAGAATGCATGGTGAGGAGCATTACCATATGTCTGTTGAGAAACTAAAGTTATACGTCTGTTCATTGACTCATTAATGACCTTTCATATATTTGTCAAGCTAAAGCAGTGTGATTTCCTTTCAGTTGTAAACAGAAGTGCCTTAACTCTTCCCTAGTTTAGATGGGGAAAGGGTGTATTTCCTGATTTGCTTCTTTACTTTAAAAGAGCATTGCTGTTAAATATTTAGGTTGATAACTATTTGAAAAGTATTTGCACCAAATGTGATAACATCTGTTTATGGGTATTGATAAGCTTGCTCGTGGATTCTGTAACAGTTCATCAAATTATATTGATTTTTAAATTGACGATTACCGTGAAGGGACACAAAATATTTCCAGTAGGTAGATCTATGTAAGATATTTGTGTATGGTATTGATTGCTTGGCAAAGATTTGTGAGGAGTCCTCATGAGTACATCCTAGCCTTAGTGCCTAGTACAGTTCAAGAACAAGAGTTTTCTGTCTTAAGAAAACATGGAAATTAATGATCCATCCCCATATATGTTAATAGGGAGAGCATTTTCCTTTTTAGCTGTTGGTGATTTGAAATGATACCACAATACGAGTAGAATTTTTTATTGATTTTTTTTGATTTAGCAATATTGTACAAATTGCTGTTTCCTTTAGGCTTTACTGTAAATATTAATCACCATGTCACTTCAAAGACTAGCCTTTTATCATTATATTAAATGACATACATGCATTGATAATTATAATTATATATCTGTATTTTATTAAAAAAGTGCTTAAGAAATTATATATTAAAGTGTGTTACTAAACCCTTTTACGACTTTGGAGGGTAATCATTTAAAGTGTCTATAAATGTTGTTCCAAGAACAAGCATACATATGAACACCCCAAACACAGATTTTGTAGCTTTCGATTACAAGGCATGGAGAAATGGGTCTGGCATTCATTTTTCATGTGTTAAATATAATTTCTTGGTGCCCTGACCATGTCATTGAAGGTGAAGCCCTGACAAATGTTGAACACATGAAAATTCAAATGTAAGAAGAGGAGGACATGGTGGTATGTTTTGTTTCTGGTCCAGGGGAGAAGGGCAAGCATACAAGAATGAACCGCTTTTACCACTGACCAGTGATGACAGATCACTTCTAGACCCCTTGACTGGAAAACATTCCAAGGGACATTGTGATGAGGTGATGTTGCTGCTATCACAGCCAGTCACATTTTGAAAATTAACACTTGCTCCTATACAAGCTCCTTCCCAGAGGTCAACAGCTTTTCACAAGCAGGGCACCCACTTGCTGACCCCTGATTTCTGGAATGTAGGGGGTCAGGAGACTTTTGTGGTCCCCAGAAGAGACTGGAGCACAAGATTGCTGATCTAGCAAAGGATCACACTCACTCCTCACGTTAATTAATGGAACTTTGAGCAAAAGAAACCTCACTTTAAAATGTGAATTCCTCTCAGGGCACCTGGGTGGCTCAGTCGGTTGAGCATCTGACATCGACTCAGGTCATGATCTTGCGGTTTGAGTTCCAGCTCCACGTGGGTCTCTGTATTGACAGCTTAAAGCCTGAAACCTGCTTCAGATTTTGTGTCTCCTCTCTCTGCCCCTCCTCTGCTCACACTCTGTCTGTCTCTCTCTCAAAAGTAAATAAACATTTTAAAAAAATGTGAATTCCTCTTGAGACACCACTCCCCAGATTTAAAACCATCAGCAACTTGCACCTCACTATGAATTAGATAAACAGAAGCTTTGGAGGTAGCCAGAAATTTGATTAGAAGAAAAGAGTAATTTTTGGAGCAGGGCAACTCTGGGAAGATTTGGAAAGGAAGTGGAAGGTGCAAGGAGAAGGCTGTCTAACAAAACCTGGTGTAAAGCCATTAAAAGTAAACATTTCATGAGCTTCTTTCAGGAGTCATGGTAGAGATGGTGGATGCTATGCTGATGTTCTAATTAGACATGTTTGTAAAGAATCCTTTCAAAGTGCAACGATGCCGTGTTTCCTCATGGGGAGTTTATTGACTCATTTACATGAAGGTTTTCTAAAGCTTTCCATTGGAAATTAAATAATTGTAGTAAGTTATTACCACATTGTGTTTTAATATCCTTGATCGTCATTCTTTAAAATATGTGCTGAGTGAGGGGCGCCTGGGTGGCTCAGTTATTAAGCGCCTGACTTCGGCTTAGGTCATGATCTCACGATTTGTGAGTTCGAGCTGCATAAGCCTCTGTCCTGACAGTGTGGAGCCTGCTTGGGGTTCTCTCCCTCCTGCGCTCTCTGCCCCTCCCCTGTGCTCCCTCTCTCTCTCTTTCTCTCAAAATAAACTCTAAAAAAATACATGCTAAGTTGAGAGTAAGGCTGACTATGTGAACAGTTAAGTAGACATACTTGAACGCAACCTTCTAGGAGCTCAAACTTAAAAACATCAGTGATGGAAATGAACAAATAATAGATATTCAAGTATAAAAACATCCAAGACATATATAAATGTAGTGTCCTTCTACATGCTTATAAACTTTAAAATAATAAATTTTCCTTGTTTTGGAAATTTGGTAAGGTGAGAACAACATTTCCTTGGGAATTAGGGAGCTTAGTTTCAAACCATAGACTTCCCAGTTATGATTTTGGACAAAAACTTTACCACCTTAGGCCTCATTTTTTTTTTTTTTAATGTGTGAAAGGAGTGGCTGAAATGAGAAACTTTACTGTTCCTTTTGGTTTGAAATTCATATGACAGTTTGTAAATCACATTCAGCTTAATAATAGGAAAATAGTTTTATAAAAATATATATTTATAAAGATAAGTCTTTTGGAATATATATATATATATACACACACACACCCCAATACATATATATATGAGATGTATTATATATATGAGATGTATGTGGGTATATATATATATATACACACACACATATATTTTTTTTTATTTTTTATTTATTTTTTTATTTTTATATGCCATTTTATTTTATTTTATTTTTACAAATAGTTTATTGTCAAATTAGTTTCCACATAACACTCAGTGCTCATCCCCACAAAGTGCCCTCCTCCATGCCCATCCCTCCTCCCCCCACATCCATCAGTCCTCAGTTTTTGTCAGCATTCAAGAGTCTCTCATGGTTTGCCTCCTCCCTTTCCCCCACCATTTCCCCCCTTCTTCTCCCCCTTGTTCCTCCGTCAAGTTCCTCCTAATCCTCCTATATGTGCATACATATGATATTAGTCCTTCTCTGCCTGACTTATTTCGCTCAGCATAACACCTTCAAGGTCCATCCATGTTGCTACACAACACACACATATATTTTTTACAAAGAACATACTATAACCAGGATTGTTTTAAATTTATTGAATTACTTAGAATTTATCTTTTATTTATTTATTTATTATTAATTTTTTTAGTGTTTATTTAATTTTGAGAGAGAGTGGGAGACAGAGCATGAGCCAGGGAGGGGCAGAGAGAGAAGGAGACTCACAATTGGAAGCAGGCTTCAGGTTCTGAGCTGTCAGCACAGAGCCTGATGCG